AAAGCGTCATGGTAGTTTGTTTTCCGGTAGTATTCGAGCTATTTTTTGTAGATCATCAAATTGTGGAAAGACAAATGTACTGCTTTCTTTAATTTTACATCCTAATGGTCTTAGATTTGATAATATTTACTTGTACTCAAAGTCTCTACACCAGTCAAGTATAAATTCGTAGAAAAAGTTGTAAGTAATGTTGAAGGAGTAGAGTATTTACCATTTAGTGAGCATGAAGAAGTCATTTCTCCTAAAGATGCAAAACGGAATTCAATATTTATATTTGATGATATTGCTTGCGAGAAGCAAGATAATGTAAGGGCATTTTTTGCATGGGTAAACATGTTGATGTTGATTCTTTTTATTCTTGTCAAACATATGCCCGCATTCCTAAACATTTGGTACGTGATAATGTTAATTTACTAGTTCTTTTTCGTCAAGATGAGAAAAATTTAAGGCATGTTTATGATGACCACGTTAATACTGACAGGACATTTAATAAATTTCGAGAACTATGTTCAACATGTTGGAATTCAGACAAGTATGGATTTGTAGTAATTGATAAGGATTCTGATTTAAATGATGGAAGATATAGAAAAGGATTTGATACCTTTGTAACACTATAAATATAAGATCATTCCTAAAATATTGTTAGTTCAATATGAAACCTTGTAATAATAACATGTTTCATAAAGAAAAAGATTATCTTCATCAAATTGCTAAAGCTAGTGAGGCAATTAGGCGAAAACATCGTATGTTAAAATTAGGAAAAGAAGAAGCTGAAAATGTGTTGAATGAAACTTTCAAACCGATAATTCAACCCTTACAAAAAATTATTAACTTGACAAACAGTGAACATAAAAATGTCAAGATTAAAAATGTTAAGATTGAAAAGAAAGAGCAGAAGGAGGATGATAGCATAAACTATGAAAGTGAAACTGAAAAATCTCCAGATGATGATAAAATAAGTAATAAATTTCTATACTTATTAAATCATAATAGAAAGCAATGTTTAGATTCAACATACGGCATACGTAAGCTAAGTGATGGATCACTTATGATTGGTGATTCACCAATAACTCTTGAAGATCAGTTTGTTAGAATTGGTGAAAAACGATATCTTCAAACACCTGAATTACTTGAACTTTTATTCAAAAGTAAACCTACCAGATCGTTTATAAGTGAAGCTGATGAAGTGAACCATAAAGAGATTCTTATTGCTACTAATGCACACAAAAAGAAGTACAGTTCCTCTGAATCTATACGTACAGATAAGAGTTACAAGTATTTGAATTTTATATCTTAATTCTTCCCTCGAAAACCTACCAAACAGCCATCTGTAAGCGGTAGTTCATTATCTAAATTTATGACTACAAACATAAATTTTCAACGAGAATATATCTATTGGGATGATTCGAATGAGTTGGTTGACCGTCTTAGACTATTAATAGCTTCTCAAGCTGCTGGAAATCCTAGTCACAATAATGAAATCATGTATATCATTGAGGAACTACGTGAAGCTAAAATTATATATTAAGATGTGTTTTAGCAAATATCATTCATTTCAACAATGAGCATTGATGTGTTCGGACATCCTCTCAATCAAAGAGGAACAGCAAGACGAGGGCCTCCTGGAGTTGGTTTAAACTCAATTCTCAAGGTAACTTTGACGTTGAAGGAAGAAAACTCTGTAATCTTGCTAACGGTGAAGAAGAAAACGACGCTGTCAATTTAAAACTTGTACGACATGTGATAAAAAACGAAGTGCGTTTATTCTATGAAGCTAGTGCCTCACTTAGATCAGAGGTGGAAAATAACTTAATAACTGAAGCGTTTCTTTATGTTTTCGGGGTCGCTCTACAAGATTCCATGCTCAGATTTTAAATTTATCGCATAGAAAATTAAATATGGCGAATTTTGTGCACCAAATTGCGAAAAAAATGAAATTTTTTTTTAAAAATAATTATTTCTTACTGAAAACATTTTTTTCAAATGAATACAAGTGTCACAAATTGGCACAAACTTATTAAACTTTCAAAATATGCAATAGCGGAAACAAAAAAAAACAAAATGGCGGCTTCAAAATGGCGCTAATTTGAGAAAAAATTAATTAATTTTTTTTATAGTGCACCGATTCAGGCAATAGCTATGAAATATAATAGAACTTAGTGTTTATATGTTTTTGAGGTCTCTCATCACGAATATGTACTCGGATTTTCAAAATTCAAAATGGCGGATCCAATATGGCCGACGAACATTGTAAAAATTCACTCTATTCGCTTGAACTTTGTTACTCAGGGGTTTTTGGGGTCGCTGATTATGAATCTGCTATTGGATTTTCATAATACAAAATGGCGGATCCAATATGGCCGACAAAAATTATTTAAATTTACTAGATTCGCTTGAAACTTGTTACTCAGGGGTTTTTGGGGTCGCTGATTATGAATCTGCTATTGGATTTTTAAAATACAAAATGGCGGATCCAATATAGCCGATAAAAATTGTTTAAATCAATTCTAGTCGCTTGGAATTTGTAAAATGATGACCATCTATTTGCCGTCAGAATAAGGCAAAATACAAATCAAATCCCTCAGAAGTACACAACGAAAAAATTGTAGGTCTAAATCTAATTGGCTTAGATAAATTGTTTCAACACTATCTTAGCATAAGACTTAATATTGCAAAACTTATAACCTGACATTGTTAATGAAACAATTTGAGATGACAGCTAAGGAGTAGTTGACCAATATTATCGAATTTTAGCTTTAATATCATTAGAATAATTTAGAGAGTTGGTAAACGTCTTATTCTGACGGCAAATAGATGGTCATCATTTTACAAATTCCAAGCGACTAGAATTGATTTAAACAATTTTTATCGGCTATATTGGATCCGCCATTTTGTATTTTAAAAATCCAATAGCAGATTCATAATCAGCGACCCCAAAAACCCCTGAGTAACAAGTTTCAAGCGAATCTAGTAAATTTAAATAATTTTTGTCGGCCATATTGGATCCGCCATTTTGTATTATAAAAATCCAATAGCAGATTCTAACACAGGTCAACAAAAAAAGACTTACTTTTTTTTATGAGATAGCGGAATGGTTTCCTATGTATTTTTGGACGCTGAACACGATCCCGACTTTCAAATTTGCCCATCACGTCAGGATTTTGAGAAAAGTGTGGGTAAAGACCCCAAAAACGCTTTTTTGAGGATTTTCAACATTTCTTTTCTCTTTAACCTGACGTGCTAGAGACTTCCACAAGGTCTTAAATTAAAGCTTGTAATGTGCACTACAAGACCTATATCCATAAAATAAAAAAAATTAACATTTTTTTCAAAAAATGGGGTTGAAGACACCAAAAATTTGTGTTTTTGGATTGCTTTAATAGACTTCTTGCAATCGCTTGGATTCGCTTGAAAATGGGTACTTAGGGTTTTTGGGGTCGCTGATTACGAATCCAATATTTGTTTGCAAAAATTTAAAACGGCGAAACCAAGATGCAGATGTAAGAATTAAGAATTGCTTGGATTCGCTTGAAAATTGTTATTTCAGGGTTTTTGAGGTCGCTGATTACGAATCCGCCATTTTTAATTTTTGCAAACTAATATCAGATTCGTAATCAGCGACCCCAAAAACCTCAAGTAACCATTTTCATGCGAATCCAAGCAATTGCAAAAAGTCTATTAAAGCAATCCAAAAACACAAATTTTTGGTGTCTTCAGTCCCATTTTTTGAAAAAAATTTTTATTTTTTTTTATTTTATGGATATTGGTCTTTTAGTGCACATTACAAGCTTTAATTTAAGACCTTGTGGAAGTCTCTAGCACGTCAGGTTAAAGAGAAAATAAATGTTGAAATTCCTCAAAAAAGCGTTTTTGGGGTCTTTACCCCCACTTTTCTCAAAATCCTGACGTGATGGGCAATTTTGGAAGTCGGGATCGTGTTCAGCGTCCAAAAATACATAGGAAAACATTCCGCTATCTCATAAAAAAAAGTAAGTCTTTTTTTGTTGACCTGTGTAATCAGCGACCCCAAAAACCCTTGAGTAACAAAGTTCAAGCGAATAGAGTGAATATTTACAATGTTCGTCAGCCATATTGGATCCGCCATTTTGAATATTGAAAATCCGATTGCAGATTCACAATCAGCGACCTCAAAAACCCCTGAGTAACAAAATTCAAGCGAATCGAGTAAATTTTTAAAATTTTCGTCGGCCATATTGGATCCGCCATTTTGAATTTTGAAAATCCGAGTACATATTCGTGATGAGAGACCTCAAAAACATATAAACACTAAGTTCTATTACATTTCATAGCTATTGCCTGAATCGGTGCACTATAAAAAAAATTAATTAATTTTTTCTCATATTAGCGCCATTTTAAAGCCGCCATTTTGTTTTTTTTTGTTTCCGCTATTGCATATTTTGAAAGTTTAATAAGTTTGTGCCAATTTGTGACACTTGTATTCATTTGAAAAAAATGTTTTCAGTAAGAAATAATTATTTTTAAAAAAAAATTTCATTTTTTTCGCAATTTGGTGCACAAAATTCGCCATATTTAATTTTCTATGCGATAAATTTAAAATCTGAGCATGGAATCTTGTAGAGCAACCCCGAAAACATAAAGAAACGCTTCAGTTATTTTTAGGGAGCATGTTTAATATATAAAATTATATCTTAAATTAAACACATAATTTCAAAGGTTTCAGGCGTTAATGGGTTAAGTGCTCTCGAGAATGAACAACAAAAAATTAATAGTAGTGAATGAACTTCATACTCAGGCTAGAATAAATTATCCTCGACGCGACGGCGAGTTGAAATGCGTGATATTGATGAGACATGGTAAGCAGATTTAGTAGAAATGATACCTTATTCAAGAATAAATAAAGGTTTCAAGTATTTATTAACAGTTATAGACATATTTTCGAAATATGATTGGGCTGTTCCAGTAAAGAGTAAAAATAGAAAAGATGTTTCTCATGCACTGCAATCTATTGTAACGTTGATTTTTAAATAATCACGTTATAAAGACCCAGATTGAGTTTTCGCCGAAACTTATCCAAGTAATTCACAGTTTATTAGTATAAATTAAACGTGGCAGCCAGAATCGAACTCAACATTTTTCTTTATTATTATTTTTGAATTGTATAGAATCAAAATGATACTGAAAGGTTGAGTTGTACAAAGATCAGATTAATTATTTGAATAGAATTCCACACGTTCTGGTTGACTATAAAACACGAATTTATTTATTATCATTTAATTATCAACCAACCGAAAATAGGCCAATAATTTATGTTAATCGGCACGAATCTAATGTCAACCGGCAATCACCTGTCACAGAGGTTGGGACCGTTATCATGCTGCAGGGGCGAACCCATATTGCGCATGACCTATATGCGGGCCAGAAGCAGGAAGCCAAGTAACCTAATTTCGACAGTTCGTGCCTGGCCGCCGATAGACTTTAACGGTGACACTACGGTTCAACCGAAAGTTCAGTAAAAATTAGAATATGGATTACCAGGCTTTGTTGGCCAGAATCAAAGGTTAGTGTCCAGTTTCCATCTTCCTCGTTGTTCTGGAGATAATACCGGTGTACGGTGTGACCGAGGAATAACGTTGAGACGAGCGACCGCATGGCAAGCCGATAGAACGCCGCCATTTTCGGTCGACCGACGAGTATCACCGGCGTGTGGAAGTTCTCATTCTCTCGCAAGTTTTATCTTGTTGAAAATAAAAGTGATTGATTTAATTGTTAATTGAATTTCTCGAGTCAAATTTATTTTATTTAAGTGTCAATTCATTGTGTCTGTCTCTCTCTTCTGTGTGCGGTACTCACGCCTGAGTTTTGTAAAATCTAAAGTCAACTTCGTAAAGATGAAATAGTGAGCTCGGTTTGAGCTAGTCCGGGAAAGTTCCTATTTTGTTTCTGCTATCGTGATCCGGGTAGTTCACCTACCTGGCGCCGGGGAAGTTCCCTAAAACGGATCATCGATGGTGTATTATAAATTCGGAGTGTGGAATTTATAATTCGGTAACCGGAAAACCGGTGATCGCCATTTTTGTAACGATTGATGGGTAAAACCCGTAAGTAAAGGTAAATATCGTTACAACAGTGGCGCCCAACTCAAGGGCCGTGACAGACGAGAGAGACGAGAGAAGGATTTTCAGTATAGTTGTGTAGGGAGAAAAACAGATGAGAACCTTCACTGCTGGTGAGTAATTGAATTTTCTTTTCATTATAAAATTATTTTCTTTTTCGATCTGACAGGTGCTAATTATTTTTACTTCTGGGGAAAATTTGAAAATTTATTTTTATAATAATTTTGTAAATTGATGCTTTGAAAATTGTTTTTGTTGTATATTTTTTTCAGCATGAAAGAAGATTTTTTTTTAGTACCTGCAGTATCCCCTACCACCTTCGAGAAAAATAGAAAAAAAATTTTTTTTTAAATAAGAGTATTTTAATAAGAGTATTTTGAAAAATTACCAAAAATTATTTTTGAAACTAATTAAATATTTTATTGGGTTTTTCGAAGACTGAGGTAAAGAAATAATTTTGTAAATAGTTAAATAATGTGGAAAAGAATTTTTCTTTTTTTTTACAAAAGGAGATAAATAAACAGGCGCGAACTCAAGAAAAAGCCCCTTGAAATTTTTTTTTCGTTAATCGGAAAAATTACCCGGTAAGATTGGGAATTTAAGTAATTTTAGAAATAATCCCCAATCAATTAAAAATTTAGTGAATTGAAGAGAAAATATTTCTCAACGTACAGTAACTAAATTTAGAAAAAGAAAATTACCGGAAATTTTCGGAAATTTATGGAAATTTTGGAAATTTTCGAAGATTTATAGAAAGCGAGGACATTATTTTTTTTTTGGAAATTTAAGGAAACGTAGAAAAATTTTCAAAAATAGTTAGGGAAAATAGAAATAGGTAATTTTACTTTATTCGGAAAATTACCCGGTAAGATTGGAAATTTAAGAAATTTTGAAACAATTCCCAATCAAAATTTAAAAAAAAATTTTTTTTTAGTGAATTGAGAAAGAAAATATTTCTTTACCGAAAGTAACTAAATTTAAAGTCAGGAAAGTTACCTAAATTCGGAGGAAGTTTACCGGTAATTTATGAAGTTTTGTAGTACTTCAGGTGAATTGGAAAAATATAGTTTTTGTGAAAGTAGGAAAGTTTCTTTGCCGACCTTAACTATATTTTCAAGCGGGAAATTTACTTGAAATTTTAGGAAAGTTATGAAATTTAAGAAACTTACCAATAATTCACCCTCAAAAATAACACAATTTACGGAAATTACGGAAAATTTTCGGAAACCGAGTAGGGATTAGCGGTAATTTCCGAAGAAATTTTAGAAATTTTTCGGTAATTTGTGAAATTTAAGAAAGAAACCGATAACTTTTCCCCACAAACAGATAAATTGGTAAAAACACCAGTAAACAACCAGAGACCGAATAGGAAACAACGGTAATTTTTGGAAATTTAAAGAAATTTCCAGGAATTTATAGAAATTTGGGAAATTTTTGAAAATTATAGAATTTCTTGTTGAATTTTATAGTAAATCAATAGAAAGAGTAATAATTTTCCTAAAATAACGGATTATTACGGGTATTACCGAGAATAAATAAGAAAAAAATTTTTCTTTTTCTTGATTTAATTTTTCTTAAAATTTTTTTTTTGTGTGTTGTTCCTTCCGTTCAACCCTAATTAAAGAAAGAGCAGGAAAGATTAGTGGGGACATCAGAAAAATAACCAAAGACCGAATAGGTAATTAACGGTAATTTTCGGAAATTTATAGAAATTTTTGGAAATTTATGGAAATATTGGAAATTTCGGAAAATTATAGTAAATAAATATAATAAAAATTAAAATACCGATAAATTACGAAAAATTTAGCTTTGGGAGTAATAATTTTCCCAGAACAGCGGAGTATTACAAATATTACCGAAGATAAATAAGAAAAAAATTTTTTTTTACTTATTTAATCTTTCTTAAATTTGACTAGTCTTAATTAAGGGAAAATTATTCATAAATAAAAATAAAGATATTTTGTTTGCCAACCGTTTCTTTTTTTTCTTGTCCTTTATTGACCAAAAGAAAAAAAAAAAAAAAATGGCAGACTCAGAAAGAACAGACCCAACCCAACCCGAACTAGGAGCAGGGGGGGGGGAAATAAATCAGAGGCCACAAAACACACAAGAGATACAGACCCAAAGGGAGGAAAATTCGGAAGAGACGAATAGATTCGGACTAATAGATGAACTTGCCGAACAGGTCCAAGCGTTTCAGGAGATGAAAAATCAACTCCATAAGAACGGGTGTAATACGTCAGGTACGTTCGAAGAGGTACAATCGCGACTCCAACGGTTAATTGCACGCATGCAGGGCAATATCGAAGTTCCGTGGTACGATAGCGACGAGGCGTTCACAATACCGACGACTGTAGTACCGACCTCCACCCCCATTACACTGGGTTCAGCAAAATTCATGGGTCTACCGACAACACCGGTGACCTCGGATTCCTCAAACACGTTTACAGATAGCACTAACGGAATCGAAAGACGGTTTAGACCACAACATTTCCAGAGTAACTTTCCCCCACCGAATTCAAATTTCGCTAATGTCAACACGCGTCGCGGACACGCGGAAAATAGGGAAAACCGAACAGATAAGGGAGTCAATGCTGAAATCCAAGAATTGCGTGAATCGATACTCGCAATGCAACAACAAATGACAACGTTAATGTCGATAGTACAAAGACAGACAAAACAACCAGTCACAATAACAAGTACATGTCCCACATGTTACACAACGACAGCGGTAACAACACAATCCGAACCAGTATACCAGCCGGCTAATTACCAACACACACAGAATTATAGGTACACCCACACAGACAATAGAATCAACTCAACAGCGCCACCTATAATTCCAACCACGACGGTTTGTAATCCGGATCCGCGTTTCACAGGATTGAGTTGGAGCCAACACTTAGAGTGTATACCACCTCCACCGACCACAAATTACTATACAGGATATAGACCATCCCCTCCACAACCATACGGACAAACGATAACGGAATCCGACAGACCGAGACAAGTTCCATACTATCCAACAAATAGTATGTTTCCCCAAACGAACCCAACCTTCGCGACAGCGGAAAGACATACCGTAGGCGGATATGACCAACAACAAAACACTCTCGACCCACATTACGTAAATAGACCGTCCAATCCTTTTTCGGAACAAAACAGACCGTGGGAACAGGAAAACACGTACTGGCAAAGACAGAGTAGCATGTATAAAAAACCGAGAGATGTCGCGAGAACTGTCGAGAGTTGGAAGATAAAGTTCAATGGGCAAAGAGGGTCAAGCGTAGACAATTTTTTGTGGCGGGTAGAAGAGGGAAGGGCCGCGTCATTCATGACCGATCAGGAATTACTAGTAGCAATGCCCTTCCTCCTTACCGAGATGGCAGCACATTGGTATCGCCAAAATAGGCAAAGATGGAATACGTGGGAGGAGTGTAAAAGGCAATTCCAAATTCGGTTTGGAGACTCCCGATACCAAGACCGTTTAGAAGAGCAGATTCTCTCTAGAAGACAGGGACCCGGAGAATCGGCAATAGATTACTTGACATGTATGTACGGACTATACGAACTGTCGACGAGACCAATTGACATGACGACACAGATGGACCGGATACATGCAAACCTTAGGGCTGAGTACCGTAGAGCAATCCGTAGACACGAGTTTTACGATTTTAACGGTCTGGCGGATTTAGCTACCGAATACGAACGAGTAACCGCAATTACGGATGACGACACACCCCCACCCCCACCTGAGAAATCGCTCATTCCGGAATACGCGTTTCGAGGGCAGGTTGGGGCAAGTCAGAAACCGTCAAACATTGCGGCGCTCAAATCGGAAACGGAGCAAATACCGAGACCAGTAAATACGGAAGACCCGCAAACGAATGCGGAAAAACTATGCGAGTTTTGGCCAAAGACAATGGATGCATTGGTGGCAGCTCTGGTGGGCAGTAAAAGGTTTTCCTCACCAGACAACCAACAATCTTCCAAACAGTCGGGAAATTCCAAATGGAATAAGGAAAAGAATTCCCAATCGAACAAAAACGCGAGTAATTCGACGTCAATAGACAACGCCGCGAAAAATTCGAACTCCCAATCAGACAAAGAAGCGGAAAAAGAACCTAAAGAAGTCGAATGCTGGAACTGTCACGAAACCGGCCACTTCCAATCAGGTTGCGCAAAAAAACGTCGTAATAATTATTGCAGACGGTGCGGTAAGGACGGCGTGACCACTAAAACCTGCGAAGGGTGTCCGGGAAACGCGAAAAAGGAGGAGAAGTAAAGGTCAACTCCTCCTCCTCCGAAAACGTAGAGACCTCAACAAAAGTAATCGAAACAACCGTGGAACAATCCAAACCCGCAGTAATAGAAAATGATCAGAAATCCACGGAGGGCGTTAACAAAAAGTCGAAAAAACGGAAAGCCACCCGACAGTATGAGGCCGACCAAACTGTTTTGTTAAACGACCGCGTTGAGAGTCACAATGGTACAGATCCATGGAAAAGTAACCAGGCAATCATGGCACTGTTAAAAGCGGATATAGAACCCAGAGTAGAATCCGAACAAAAACCGTTGCGCTTAGAAATTAGGGAACCGCCAGCGGAAGACAAAGGCTTCAGTTTACGGGTATTCACGAACATAAGAATAGGCAATACCCCTAACGTGCAGGCTTTAATAGACAATGGTGCATCGCGCACAGTGTTAGGCGATATCGGAATAGCAATCGCCGAAAGATATAAAGCAGATTTACAACCAGCAACCGAGAAAGCGGTCATGACGGCCGACGGTACGGTACGTCCGGTAAAAGCTGTTTGTTACCTCCCAATAGAAGTAGATCGGGTATCTCGCATGATGAAAGTGTTAATAGTTCCAGGAATGGGTGAACAAGTTTTCCTGGGAGTAGACTTTATTCACACTTTCGGCGTGATACACGATGGCAGCCAACGAAAATGGTATATGGCTGACTATCCAGATTCTATACACTGGTATACCGAAGAGGGGGTAGAAGCAATCACGGTACAGGACGAGAACGTCGTGCCCGATTCAGAAAAAGTATGCGGGTTAGTAATAATTACCGACGAAGAACGCGAAGACTTAAAACATTTCGTTTCAGGCCTTCTTAGAATTATTCCAGACGATCTACCAGCGACAGATCGAACCGAACACGTGATCGATGTCGGGGATCATTCGGCAATAAAACAGCGCTATTATAGGGTTTCCCCGAAAGTTTTAGAAGCCATGCACGCAGAGATATTGAGAATGTTAGCGGAAGGTATCATAGAACCCTCAAAAAGCGGTTGGTCCAGCCCTATAGTAATGGTCAAAAAGGCAGACGGTACCTACCGCCTATGCATAGATTTTCGGAAATTAAACCGTGTAGCGAAAACCGACGCGTATCCATTGCCGAAAATGGATATGATTTTGGAGAAACTTCGAGCTGCGAAATACATCACGACACTAGATCTAAAATGGGGGTATCACCAAATTCCCCTATCACAGAAAAGTAGAGAACTCACAGCATTTACCGTCCCCGGTATGGGTCTATTTCAGTTCAAACGTATGCCGTTTGGACTCTCAGGAGCTCCAGCGACATTCCAGAGACTAATAGACTCCCTCATAGGGCCGGAAATGGAACCGTTTGTCTACGCGTATTTAGACGACATCGTGATTGTCACCGAAACACTCGAAGACCATAAGAAGTGGTTAAAAATCGTGATTAACCGACTACAAGAAGCGAACCTTACGATTAATCCGGAAAAGAGTAAATTCGGAGTAACATCCGCCCGATATTTAGGATTTATCGTAAATCACGAAGGCTTACAAGTTGACCCGGAAAAAGTAGAACCGATCACAAAGTACCCCGAGCCAAAAACGATCAAACAACTTCGACGCTTTCTCGGAATGGCATCGTGGTACCGACACTTTATCCCCCAGCTTTCAACCTTAGCCGAACCACTAAACAAACTGTTACGCACCAACATCCCGTGGGAATGGGGCGAAGCCCAACAAAACGCGTTCGAAGAACTCAAAGAACTGATCGCGACCGCGCCAACCCTAACATATCCTGATTTTACGTTACCGTTCGAGCTGCACACCGACGCGAGTGATTTCGGTATAGGTGCAGTTCTTACTCAGCGTCAAAATGGAGAAAACCGGGCCATCGCGTACGCGAGCCGAACGCTCACGGGAGCAGAACGGAAATACTCCGTCACCGAGAGAGAATGCCTTGCGGTAATTTGGGCAGTAAAGAAATTCCGCCATTACCTCGAAGGGTTTTATTTTACTGTCATCACTGACCACAGTTCACTACGTTGGCTGCACAATTTGCATAATCCAACGGGTCGGCTGGCTCGGTGGGCGCTTGATCTCCTTGAATACGATTTTGAGGTAGTGCATCGGAAAGGATCTGAACACCTTGTCCCGATGCGCTCTCAAGAATGTATGAAGAGGAGATGGCGCTGCCAATAGCTGCCTTGACACCGTTTGAAGATCCATGGTATTGCCGGCGTGTGAGGGAAGTTAATGAAACCCCGAGAAAGTTTCATGGCTGGAAAGTAACAGACGGTAAACTCTACCGATACCGCCCAAATCCGTTAATCGACTCGGTAATGGACGATATAGATGCTTGGAAATTAGTGATACCCGCTGAGCAAAGACAAGAAGTCTTTAACGAGATTCATCACGAACCCCAAGCAGCTCACCTCGGAATTGAAAAAACGTACCGTCGAGCAACATCACTCTACTATTGTCCAGGAATGTACCGCGACATTAAAACCTGGGTCAGCACGTGCGATACTTGTCAAAAGATCAAACCCGACCAACGACCCGCGGCAGGTTTAATGGGTAGAAGAATTATCCAGAAGCCATGGTCAGTCGTAGCCACTGATGTGATGGGCCCCTGGCCCAAAAGCACATTAGGCTACCAATATCTTGTAATCTTCGAAGATTTGTACACGCGATGGATAGAATTAGCTCCAATGCGCAAAGCTAACGCCGAAACAATAATCAAAGCGTTCGAAGACCTAATTTTAAACCGATGGGGGGCACCCCAAGTTTTGGTATCGGACAACGGAACCGAGTATGTTAATCAGGCATTTGAAGGGTTAACGGAAGCGTATGGGATAAAACATTCATTTACCCCGGTATACCACCCACAGGCGGACCCTGTGGAACGAGTGAACCGAGTGGTGAAAACAATGATATCGGCATACGTTTCTAAAGACCACAGAAAATGGGACGTCTATCTTAAAGACCTAAGATTCGCATACAACACGGCAGTGCATGGAAGTACAGGCGTCAGTCCGGCATACCTGAACCTGGGTAGAGAACCCAAACCGTACAACAACCTTCGCGACCGAACGGAAGAGACCGAAGTTGACCTTACACCCGAGAACGAAAACGAATGGTTAGAGCGGATAGAAAAGTTAAAAGAATTACAGGATTTAGTCTCCTTACAAATGGACAACGCGTTCAACAGACAGAAAGTACAATATGACAAAAGACGCAGACACGCTACATTTGTCATAGGAGATAAAGTCATGTGTAAAAAGCTAATAACCTCATCCGCTAGCAAAAAAATAACACGAGCGTTCGGTGGGAAAAATCAGGGACCTTTCACAATAGTACAAATTTTAGGACCTTCGGTTTATGAAATAGCAACAGAAGAGGGTAGGTCTTTGGGAAAGTACCCAGTTAAACTTTTGATCCCCTATAGGAATTCTAAGTAGAGGGGGGTAGAAGGTAAAATCGGAAACTATACCTTCTTGAGATAAGTTTTTTTTTTTTTTTTTTTTTGTTTGTTTTATGATGTAATTATTCATTATGATTATGTAAATAGTAGCTTAAAGTGATTAGTAAAACAATATCGACACGGAATTGGTGATGGTATTAGAAAAATAATAGATTAGTCAGAAGAACCAAACGAAAAATTGTTTTACCCTACTTACAGAAGAAGAAGAGAAATTGCGGCGAGAAGCAGACCGGAAGCGAGAAATAGCCATCGAAATTGAAAGACTCCTCAAACAAGCGGAAACGACGACATTAGAAGCCACACCGAGAAGAGAGCCACGAGCGATAGCCAATGTACGACCGCTACGGTTGACAGACGTCTATTTACCCGAAGGATGGCTTCCAGCTGGGGTAACAGGACCGAGTGCAACCACCAGACAAGACCATCTATCTCAGATTGCAAACCACATTGAACGGATCCACGAATCGGGGAGGGAAGTACGGCCAAACTCGCAACCGCTAAACAGAATCGGTACGGTTCAAACCGAAGAGAATGAGAGAAGAATCGCTATAGCAAGAGGAGCTATCCCACGCACTACGCCACCGGTGAACAGAATCGGCACGGTTCAAACCGAAGGAAACGGGAGAGGAACCCATACACCCGGAGGAACTACACGACACAGTTCTCAACCGAGAGGCAACGACGCCACCGCTCAAACCGAGGAGTCCGCTTCGGAAGAAGTAATTTTCCACCGCAGGATGGGCGAATCCTGGAAGGAATTCCGATTACGCTCAGGGGTACACCGCCCCCCTAAATATATTCGGGAACAAGAGAGCAAATCGAGGCGAGAGACCCCAGCGGAGAGAGGAAAGAGGGAAGCAAGACAGGATAAAGCAAAAGCCCAACAAGATGCAATCCAGAAAGAGATCGACAAAAAGAGACAAATGGAGGTTGACATAGCATGGGCAGCCAGACAAAAATGGCTAACCCAGGCTAAACAAGAGAGGATGAGACAAGAGCAAGAGGATAGAACTCGTCTACGACAAGAAGCAACTGACATGGCCACCCAAATCTACGATGAGGTGATCTATGCCGTATGGAAAGAACATGAGAAGAAACTCTGCGAACTTCTCAACGGTATTCCACTCCTCACCGAAACTGCCAGTCGTAGGATGAGATGTGAGAAGTGCCAACAACGGGGTCATAACAAGGGCGACTGCCCTACCCAGACCGAAAATACGGAAGATTAGGGGACCAATGTTGACAATATCATTTAGCTTTTCGTTCTTTTCACACCACCAATATTGAAGATAATATTTAGTTTTTTTCGTTATATTTTTTTTCTCTCTTGAATCCACCAATTTGGTTGTTATTGTTACGCCCTTAGCTTAGAGCAATTGTTTTCGATAACCTTCGATTGATAGCACATAGATCATTTGTTTTTTTTTGTTATTCGGAAATTTTTAGTTTCACGTTAGTAACCTGTATTAATCACATTAATCGAATTCAATTGAGCCAAAGGAATAAAATTTGATTAAAGTACTTATTAAATTTCAAACTTAAAGTCAATCACTTCATTTTGTTCGCCAACCCACTAACTATCCTTTTACCGGAACTTGGAGAAACCTAATAAAACTAGATGTAACTAAATGGGACCGGAGGACATCGAATCCTAACTACAGGTAGGCAGAAAGGACACTGCAGGTAATAAGGTGATAAGTTTCTTTTTTATGTTTGGTTTCAAAGCATCAATTACCTAATCGTAGATTTGGGTGGCCATGTCAGTTGCTTCTTGTCGTAGACGAGTTCTATCCTCTTGCTCTTGTCTCATCCTCTCTTGTTTAGCCTGGGTTAGCCATTTTTGTCTGGCTGCCCATGCTATGTCAACCTCCATTTGTCTCTTTTTGTCGATCTCTTTCTGGATTGCATCTTGTTGGGCTTTTGCTTTATCCTGTCTTGCTTCCCTCTTTCCTCTCTCCGCTGGGGTCTCTCGCCTCGATTTGCTCTCTTGTTCCCGAATATATTTAGGGGGGCGGTGTACCCCTGAGCGTAATCGGAATTCCTTCCAGGATTCGCCCATCCTGCGGTGGAAAATTACTTCTTCCGAAGCGGACTCCTCGGTTTGAGCGGTGGCGTCGTTGCCTCTCGGTTGAGAACTGTGTCGTGTAGTTCCTCAATCGACCACAAATTACTATACGGGATATAGACCATCCCCTCCACAACCATACGGACAAACGATAACAGAATCCGACAGACCGAGACAAGTTCCATACTATGCAACAAATAGTATGTTTCCCCAAACGAACCCAACCTTCGCGACAGCGGAAAGACATACCGTAGGCGGATATGACCAACAACAAAACACGACAGAAAATAGACAAAATACTCTCGACTCACATTACGTAAATAGACCGTCCAATCCTTTTTCGGAACAAAACAGACCGTGGGAACAGGAAAACATGTATTGGCAAAGACAGAGTAGCATGTATAAAAAACCGAGAGATGTCGCGAGAACTGTCGAGAGTTGGAAGGTAAAGTTCAATGGGCAAAGAGGGTCAAGCGTAGACAATTTTTTGTGGCGGGTAGAAGAGGGAAGGGCCGCGTCATTCATGACCGATCAGGAATTACTAGTAGCAATGCCCTTCCTCCTTACCGAGATGGCAGCACATTGGTATCGCCAAAATAGGCAAAGATGGAATACGTGGGAGGAGTGTAAAAGGCAATTCCAAATCCGGTTTGGAGACTCCCGATACCAAGACCGTTTAGAAGAGCAGATTCTCTCTAGAAGACAGGGACCCGGAGAATCGGCAATAGATTACCTGACATGTATGTACGGACTATACGAACTGTCGACTAGACCAATTGACATGACAACACAGATGGACCGGATACATGCAAACCTTAGGGCCGAATACCGTAGAGCAATCCGTAGACACGAGTTTTACGATTTTAACGGTCTGGCGGATTTAGCTACCGAATACGAACGAGTAACCGCAATTACGGATGACGACACACCCCCACCCCCACCTGAGAAATCGCTTATTCCGGAATACGCGTTTCGAGGGCAGGTTGGGGCAAGTCAGAAACCGTCAAACATTGCGGCGCTAAAATCGGAAACGGAGCAAATACCGAGACCAATAAATACGGAAGACCCGCAAACGAATGCGGAAAAACTATGCGAGTTTTGGCCAAAGACAATGGATGCATTTGTGGCAGCTCTGGTGGGCAGTAAAAGGTTTTCCTCACCAGACAACCAACAATCTTCCAAACAGTCGGGAAATTCCAGATGGAATAAGGAAAAGAATTCCCAATCGAACAAAAACGCGAGTAATTCGACGTCAAAAGACAACGCCGCGAAAAATTCCAACTCTCAATCGGACAACGAAACGAAAAAAGACCCGAAAGATATTGTTTGTTGGAATTGTAAAGGAACCGATCACTTTCAAACAGGTTGCGCTTCGTCACGTCGTAGTGACTATTGTAGACGGTGTGGTAAAGACGGTGTTACCACCAAAACCTGCGAAGGGTGTCCGGGAAACGCGAAAAAGGAGGAGAAGTAAAGGTCAACTCCTCCTCCTCCGAAAACGTAGAGACCTCAACAAAAGTAATCGAAACAACCGTGGAACAATCCAAACCCGCAGTAATAGAAAATGATCAGAAATCCACGGAGGGCGTTAACAAAAAGTCGAAAAAACGGAAAGCCACCCGACAGTATGAGGCCGACCAAACTGTTTTGTTAAACGACCGCGTTGAGAGTCACAATGGTACAGATCCATGGAAAAGTAATCAGGCAATCATGGCACTGTTAAAAGCGGATATAGAACCTAGGGTAGAATCCGAACAAAAACCGTTGCGCTTAGAAATTAGGGAACCGCCAGCGGAAGACAAAGGCTTCAGTTTACGGGTATTCACGAATATAAGAATAGGCAATACCCCCAATGTACAAGCCTTAATAGACAATGGTGCATCACGCACAGTGTTAGGCGATATCGGAATAGCAATCGCCGAAAGATATAAAGCAGATTTACAACCAGCAACCGAGAAAGCGGTCATGACGGCCGACGGTACGGTGCGTCCGGTAAAAGCTGTTTGTTACCTCCCAATAGAAGTAGATCGGGTATCTCGCATGATGAAAGTGTTAATAGTTCCAGGAATGGGTGAACAAGTTTTCCTGGGAGTAGACTTTATTCACACTTTCGGCGTGATACACGATGGCAGCCAACGAAAATGGTATATGGCTGACTATCCAGATTCTATACACTGGTATACCGAAGAGGGGGTAGAAGCAATCACGGTACAGGACGAGAACGTCGTGCCCGATTCAGAAAAAGTATGCGGGTTAGTAATAATTACCGACGAAGAACGCGAAGACTTAAAACATTTCGTTTCAGGCCTTCTTAGAATTATTCCAGACGATCTACCAGCGACAGATCGAACCGAACACGTGATCGATGTCGGGGATCATTCGGCAATAAAACAGCGCTATTATAGGGTTTCCCCGAAAGTTTTAGAAGCTATGCACGCAGAGATATTGAGAATGTTAGCGGAAGGTATCATAGAACCCTCAAAAAGCGGTTGGTCCAGCCCTATAGTAATGGTCAAAAAGGCAGACGGTACCTACCGCCTATGCATAGATTTTCGGAAATTAAACCGTGTAGCGAAAACCGACGCGTATCCATTGCCGAAAATGGATATGATTTTGGAGAAACTTCGAGCTGCGAAATACATCACGACACTAGATCTAAAATGGGGGTATCACCAAATTCCCCTATCACAGAAAAGTAGAGAACTCACAGCATTTACTGTCCCCGGTATGGGTCTATTTCAGTTTAAACGTATGCCGTTTGGACTCTCAGGAGCTCCAGCGACATTCCAGAGACTAATAGACTCCCTCATAGGGCCGGAAATGGAACCGTTTGTCTACGCGTATTTAGACGACATCGTGATTGTCACCGAAACACTCGAAGACCATAAGAAGTGGTTAAAAATCGTGATTAACCGACTACAAGAAGCGAACCTTACGATTAATCCGGAAAAGAGTAAATTCGGAGTAACATCCGCCCGATATTTAGGATTTATCGTAAATCACGAAGGCTTACAAGTTGACCCGGAAAAAGTAGAACCGATCACAAAGTACCCCGAGCCAAAAACGATCAAACAACTTCGACGCTTTCTCGGAATGGCATCGTGGTACCGACACTTTATCCCCCAGCTTTCAACCTTAGCCGAACCACTAAACAAACTGTTACGCACCAACATCCCGTGGGAATGGGGCGAAGCCCAACAAAACGCGTTCGAAGAACTCAAAGAACTGATCGCGACCGCGCCAACCCTAACATATCCTGATTTTACGTTACCGTTCGAGCTGCACACCGACGCGAGTGATTTCGGTATAGGTGCAGTTCTTACTCAGCGTCAAAATGGAGAAAACCGGGCCATCGCGTACGCGAGCCGAACGCTCACGGGAGCAGAACGGAAATACTCCGTCACCGAGAGAGAATGCCTTGCGGTAATTTGGGCAGTAAAGAAATTTCGCCATTACCTCGAAGGGTTTCATTTTACTGTCATCACTGACCACAGTTCACTACGTTGGCTGCACAATTTGCATAATCCAACGGGTCGGCTGGCTCGGTGGGCGCTTGATCTCCTTGAATACGATTTTGAGGTGGTGCATCGGAAAGGATCTGAACACCTTGTCCCGGATGCGCTCTCAAGAATGTACGAAGAGGAGATGGCGCTGCCAATAGCTGCCTTGACACCGTTTGAAGATCCATGGTATTGCCGGCGTGTGAGGGAAGTTAATGAAACCCCGAGAAAGTTTCATAGCTGGAAAGTAACAGACGGTAAACTCTACCGATACCGCCCAAATCCGTTAATCGACTCGGTAATGGACGATATAGATGCTTGGAAATTAGTGATACCCGCTGAGTAAAGACAAGAAGTCTTTAACGAGATTCATCACGAACCCCAAGCAGCTCACCTCGGAATTGAAAAAACGTACCGTCGAGCAACATCACTCTACTATTGGCCAGGAATGTACCGCGACATTAAAACCTGGGTCAGCACGTGCGATACTTGTCAAAAGATCAAACCCGACCAACGACCCGCAGCAGGTTTAATGGGTAGAAGAATTATCCAGAAGCCATGGTCAGTCGTAGCCACTGATGTGATGGGCCCCTGGCCCAAAAGCACATTAGGCTACCAATACCTCGTAATCTTCGAAGATTTGTACACGCGATGGATAGAATTA